GACAGTAGGGGGTTGGTGGTAGAAGTGATAGTGGAACATCAACGGTAGTGGTAAGTTGGCGATAGTGGTGGTGATGATAAGAGTGATGGTGGACAACAATGGTGTTGATGGGTGCTGACGGTGGTAGTTGAATTATGGTGGTAGTGATAATAAATATAAGAATAAGGTGATGATAGTGATAAGCGGTGACATTGGATGATGGTGGTAGCAATCAGTGATGGGTGGCAATGGCGATGGTGGTGGTGAAGATGATGTTGGTAGGGGATAATGGTGGGACGGTGGTGGTGGTGGTAGGGTGGCCACAGCGGTGGTGGTGGTGGTAGGGTGGCCACAGCGGTGGTGGTGATAATGATAATGATAGTGGGGGGTGGTGATAATGGTGAAGGGGCGGTGGAGGGTGGTGGTAGAGTGGCGACAACAGTGATGGTGGGGCAATAAGTGTGGTGGTGGCGGCGGCAGCAATAATGGTTAGGGTAGTTATAGTAGAAGTGGCGGCGATGACAACAGCAGTAGTGGTGGTAGTGATAGTGGTAATGGGGGTAATGGTGGGAGAGTGGTGGTGGTGGTGGGGTGACAATGGTGGTGGTAGTGTTGATGATGGTGGGGTGATCGAGGGTAGTGGTGGTAGTAGGACGGTTTCAAACGATACTTTTTTTAAAAAAATATTTATGAGAAATTATAAATTTTAGAAGTACTGTTAAAAAATTACTTCAAACACACTTTCATGGATTTATTTTTCTTATTAAATTTAGGGTGTTAATATTAACTGTCAGATTAACTTTAAAATAAATTTTTATTTTTATTTTAAAAAGATCTCAACTGTAAAAAGTAAAAATTATTTTATTTATCTTTTGAAATTTGAATTGTATTGAACTTTATTATATAGATTTTAAATGCCACATTATCAGCCCATAATTAAATATCTAAAGTACCATCATATCCTTGTGTGTTTAAATCTCCAAATTATCTTTAACATCTCTTTTAATCTTCTATGTATAAATATCAGTATCTAAATTTTTTTGTATTATATAAGATAATACGGACGACAAAAACATAATTTTTATAAACTTGAAAAGATGTTTAATTTAAGTACACATATACTTAAAATTTATTAATATTTTGTATATAAAAGTTATTCACGTACAATACACGTGGTGCATTACTAGTAAATATAAAAATGAGAAGTATTTTATGGAAAAGTTATTTTAAGAAAGTAAAAAAAAATTACTTATACTTAATTATTTGAATGGTAAAATTGCTTTTGATTTTTTAGGAAGTAATTCAAATAAGTTGCTTAGTATAAGTTGTCCTAAACACTACTTTCTTTACAAAAAATGTTTAAGATAGATCATAATGCTCCGTTTAGTAGGAATAATGAAAGTAAAAATGATGAAAAGTAGAAGAGATACACTTTCTATCATTCCAGGATAGAAGTAGTAGGAATGATACATTTTCCTTCTTTTGTGTTTGGTTGGATGGATGAAAAATAAAAATAACTAACTTTTTTTTAATTTTTTTTGTGCTGGCTAAGATTAGGGGTGACAATCAAGTCGTGTGGTATTAGATTCGTATTGAGTTATAAAAATATAAGCCTTTTATATTTTTTGTTCGCATGTCAAGTTATTTTTAAATTCGTGTCGAGTTATTATCAAGTTCGTGTCATAAAATTTGTATCGAATTCGAGTCTTGTCATCGTGTTGAGTCGAAAATTTTCACTTCTAATTAAGATGAAAAAATATTTTTTTTAATTTAAAATTTTTATTTTTATATTTATTTTAATACATACATATTTTATCATTGTATTTTTATACGAAATTAATGTATACATAATATATAGACAAATAAGATACATCTCAACACAAATAATTAATTTTTCATCTATTTTTCGTCCGATTTTTGAGGAATTAATTTTAGTGCGTTGGAAGAAAAGTTAATCCATCAATTTTTTCATCTTTCCTATTTTCCTTCTCTACCAAATATGATGTTTTATTTATCCCTACAATTTTCTATTCATCCAACTTTTCATCCTTTCATTTTTCCATCACACCAAACGGAACATAAGTCTTAAAAATACTTTTTAAAAAATATCTCAAACGCTCTCATATAAACCAAGGGTGTAGAAACATATGAACATTTATTCGTTTCTATGAGACTATATTATAGACTAGTTTAATAACAATTTTATGGGTATTACCACAACACTATTAAAGATAAACAGTACATCACGTTACTCTCGTGAATTAAATCCTACTTAATAATCACATGCATAAGAGATAGAAAATGACTCTAAACGAGTATAACTTATCACTAGTTTACCAACTCTAATGGTTGGGCATAATATTTAGTTACAAATAAGTTTATGCCTTCTTTACCCGCACGTGTAGACTACTATAGTGGGATTAATTTGGGCCACATGGTAAGTTCGAGCGTCTTAAACTCTATTTGTATTTCTCGAATTTAACTGACATGTGATGTTAGTTGGTAGTTGCATGTATTCGAATTTTACTCAGTCGAGATAGATCAATTATTATCTTGTCTCAGAGAAGTTGTAAAAAGAAAAAAAAAATACTACGCCTTTATTTACCAAATATCTTTTTCGGGAAGTCCAAAAAAGAATAAATCAACCCCTTCTTATCTTCATATTAACTATGTCACGTTATTTGCACTCTACTAAATTTGATTTTAAAGTTTAATCAACGTAGTATTTGATGATGCATAAAATGGTTTTGCACACCATCTGTTAACTGTAAATAATAAATGCAGTAAAAGTAAAGAGAGAATTGGAGGAGACAAGATTTATGGTGGTTCGATCAACGTAACTTACGTCCACTCTTAAATGACTTTGGTCGTTAGGTGCTTTTTTTAGCTCAAAAGTGTGGGGAGCAGAGAGTACAAGCTTTGAGGGAGAAAAGAGAGTCGTGGTCAAGTAAAATACGATACCCCCCAAGTGTTGGTGGGCACGTGCAATTTATAGTGGTCCCCTAACAGATTGAGACTACTTTACAGCAACTAAGCGACTACTCTGGTGGAGCTCACGATTTCTTCTCAACGGGCGAGGAGGTTGAGGAGCTATCCTTGAGATGCGGTCAAAGATGAGGTAAGGGTAAACTTTTTTCTTTGCGGCGCAGGTAGGGCTCCCATGCTCTCCCTCTTGATGACGTAGCCAAGCAGAGAGTTTGACTGGTCTTAAACTATGTTATGTTTGGTAGATCTTTCATGAGGTTGGGCTTCTTAATTGAGATTGGATTTCTCACATAAATTGGGCTATTTGGGTTTGACCCATCAGCATTATTAAGTCAAAATTAGGAGGAAAAAAACTAATATTATCTTATCACCAACGTTTTGCCCGCCTAATTGTATTATTTTTGGATTAATCATAAATTGCATCCAAAAATATATCTAAAATTTTAATTTGTACTTTCAAAAATAAAAAATATCAATCTACACTCTTAAAGATATATATTTATATCAATATACATCTAAAACTAATAGCCGTTAGTTTTTCATCTAAAATTAAATGGATAAATTATACTTAGACCTCCTCAAATTTGCTACTTAATCACTAGGCCCCCTCACATTTAGAATATTATACCTACACTCCCTGACGTTTGTGTGTCTGTAACACACAACCTCATGTTGTCAATATCTATTAATATAACCATTAAAAAACATGATGTTATCCTAATAAATAACTATAATTTATATACTACCTTTTGTTCATTGTACTTTAAAGTTCAAAATCAAGCTTTGAATGTCCAATACAATATAAGTATTATATAATGTCTAAAAGTACTGGTCTTATATAATGTCTAAAAGTACCGGTATTATATAATATTTTTTATCTCCAATAAATACATCACTTGAACATAATTATTTGAATACCCAATTGGTGAAATACTTAGTCATATTTGAATTTTTAGGGGGTACAGATGTAATATTTTAAATATGAGGGGTCTGAGTGATTAAGTAACAAATATAAAGAGGTATAAGTGTAATTTTTTCATTTAATTTTAGATAGAAAACTGAGCGGCTATTAACTTCAAGTGCACATTGATATAGATTTATATTTTTGAGAGTGTAAATTGAGATTTTTTATTTTTGAAAGTACAAATTAAAATACGAGAGATCTTTTGAAATACAATATGTGATTAACCAATTATTTTTTTCTACTTGGACTATTGGATACGCGAAAATGTGTTCAACATTCGATTAAATAATCTACTTTAAATAATCTAATAGATGTCTTGAATTAAGTCTCTCATTAATTTCTTAAATTAAATCTTTTTAGTTAGACTTGTCAATGGATAGAATTTATATCCAAATCTGATTAGCTCGATATAGTTTAATATTTTTTATCGATAATCCAAATTCAATATCTTATATTTCACGAATTTCGAATTTAATTATACTTATAATCGATTCAATTATGACTCGACTCGAATTATTTATATATTTTGTATATAAATAATAAAAACTTAAGTAATTATTTTAAAAAAATTAGTTATAATTTGTTAAAATTTAATTAATTAATTATTCAAATCGAATAAAATCGAATTTTGGATTGTTAAAAGATTGGAATATGAACCCCGAAAATAAAATTCATCAAATTATCGGTTTGGATTCAAATCAAACTTTCCAATTCAAATTTGGATCAATCGGAATCTAATCCAAACTCAATCCGATAACAAACATACCTATAACATTGCTATTCCTTTGAACAATAATGTTGTTTATANAAATCAAACTTTCCAATTCAAATTTGGATCAATCGGAATCTAATCCAAACTCAATCCGATAACAAACATACCTATAACATTGCTATTCCTTTGAACAATAATGTTGTTTATACTTAATGTAAAGACACAATAAGTTATGATCATTAATTGATAGTAAAATTCAGTAGATGCTAGAATTCGCCGTTAATCTAATAATTAATATATTAGATCAACAATTAGATTTCAAATTAACTTTTAATAACATTGCTCTTCCTTAAATAGCNTAATCTAATAATTAATATATTAGATCAACAATTAGATTTCAAATTAACTTTTAATAACATTGCTCTTCCTTAAATAGCTATAATCTCCTAATTATCCAAAGAACCTCGTTGTATTACCAAAACCCCAAAACTCAGCAAAATTATAATTAGGACATTCACAATAAATCCAAAAATAAAAATCTACCATCCATAGTAAGTATTAAGTAACTTCTTCTATCTTCCCCTTATCAGAGCCTTCTCTGCAGTGTCCATTTCTTCTAAGATCCTAGCCTTCCTCTTCGCCGGAATCGGCGCCGTCGGTCCAAAACTAATATAATGACCGGAAACGGCGTTCAGAGCAGAGTAAACATCCCGGAAAGAAGACCGGCCAAGCAGAGCCTTCTCTCTCCTATACTTAGCCACCCATGAATTTGAACTCTCTCTCAGTTCGGCCACCGCAGTTGCTATGTTAGGGTCCGTTTTCTCCATGGCTATGGTGGTTCTGACCTTGTTGATCACCTCTTCGGTCTCCTTCACGTACTCTTCGTCGGAAGCAGCCCATGCAGGCGTGACTGGTTGGAGTAATACAGTGCCAGCGGTGAGTGATAAAAACTTCCGGCGACTGGTTTGTAGTCTACCCGTGATGACATTTGGAGGGGAAGAGGTTGGAGTGGTGAGTTTTGATCTGGTGGGTGGGAGAGGTTTTGGTGTGGAGGTGGTGGGAGTGATCAGAGTTGGAGAAACCATGGCTGAGTTCTGCTGCGAGAGAAGGGGGTGGAAGAGAGAGAGAGGGGGAGACTGTTTTTAGCGATGAAGGTGAAGGAGGGTTTGGTTCTTTGCCACGTGGGTTATCGCCTTATCTCAGTATTTTGTTATGNCAGAGGGGGAGACTGTGTTTTTAGCGGTGAAGGTGAAGGAGGGTTTGGTTCTTTGCCACGTGGGCTTATCGCCTTATCTCAGTATTTTGTTATGGTCCTTATGGATGAGAGTAGTTCCAGTGGAATCGGGTTAGGATGTGTTGTGTACTGAGACCAATTCGGGCCGGCTCGATCTGGTCAATTGGCCCAAGATTGCTAAGGAGTTAGTTGGGCTAGCCCATGGCCCGATTGTACTATTATATACTTTCTGTGGGATTTTTAGTTTATTTAAAAAAAATATATGAGTGTTTAGTTTAGTTTGACCAGAGACATCTGATCTTTAGTTTTCATTTTTTGCTTCATGGATTATATGGATCAACCCAAATATAACATAATAATAAAAAAAGTCGGGTTAGTGTTAGGACATTTGATATGATTAATTAAATAAGTTAAGTCAGAATAGACTAGTAGCTAACACAAGCTCAATATATCCAAACATGACTCGATATAACACAATTGTTGTCGTCGGCAGCACTTTGAAGGGATCTTGGAGGTAGTTAACNATCGGGTTAGTGTTAGGACATTTGATATGATTAATTAAATAAGTTAAGTCAGAATAGACTAATAGCTAACACAAGCTCAATATATCCAAACATGACTCTATATAACACAATTGTTGTCGTCGGCAGCACTTTGAAGGGATCTTGGAGGTAGTTAACTAAGTTGGAGAATAGAAGACATCAAAATTAATTAAATAAGTTAAGCTAGAGTAGATTAAAGTAGTTAACAAAAACTCAATATATTACACGTGACTCGACATGACTCAATTGTTGTCGGAGGGATCTTGGAGGTAGTTAACCAAGTTGGAGAAGGGAAGACTTCAAAATTTAACAATTCTTTTCTTATTTTTCTTCCAGATACAAACTTTCTAATTTTACTTGTATCCAATAATTTACGAGGACAAAATAAAAAAAGATTAGAAAAATAAGATACGAGGAGAAAATAACAGAAGATTAAATTCAAAAGTTATGTTTTTGACGGATACAAAGCCTAATATACATGTCAAAAACTCATACCTACCTAAAAGCTTAATCCGATGTAGAATTCTCACTCTCAACACCCTGGTTTGTGATAATTGTTGACTTTTTCTGAATTCAAGTCATATATACTAGCATATACATAGGGTAATCTGTTTGTCTACGGACCGTGACAGGGTAACAGATGATCAATGTGAGAAAGCTTTCAATTATGCAGTTTCGCAGAATATACTTTGTTTTAGGAGGCTTAATACATAAAGGTTTGTATAATAGGAGCTATCATCAAAACTAATTGCCAAGCAATTCTGTATCAAAAATACTGCACTGCCCCGGCTTTACATTCCCAGCAAATTTTGCACAAGAATATATTTATTCAGCTTCCGAATAACGTGATTTAGTCCCCCAATTCAGAACAATAGTGCAGCAACAGCAGCAGGTACAGTAGCAGTGGTGTTGTAGACATGGTTTATGGTACTTTGAGTATGAATAAAGATGCACATGCATCGTGAGCACAAACTTTCAATCATCGTATGTCAGCCTTCAAGCAACAGAAGAGGAATAAGAAAGTTGCTCTTTGAGCTATTAGTGTATCCTCAAGTTGCAGAAGAGAGTTAAGAAAGTCGCTATTTGAGCTATAGGTGTATCGCAGTACTGAGCATTTCTCCACTTGGATATATTTTCAATTTATTCACTTGATTACTCCTGCCAAGTGAGCACAAGAATAGAAGCATATTACTTAGTGTTCTATAGGAAAGGAAATAATAGTGCAAAAAAGAATGGGGGAACAGGACAGCCCGTTTCAAAAAGAATGTTGGGCCGCTCTAACATGGCCCTGGATTCTATGATTTCATCCATTTGGTTAAGAAATGGGCCTGTGTTCAATGTAATAGGTTAATATGACATCCAATGACCAGTTAATTCTCCATGTTCCACTTCTGTGGGACTTCATGTCATACCTCCTGTCCACTTCTTGATGAAGAATTGGACTCTGCTTCCAGCGATGCCTCAGATATTCGAGCTTCTGATTTCTCATTCGAATATCTACAAAGCAATTTGTAAGTGTCAAAGATATATTACCTCCACTGAAACATTATCAAACACTGGTCTATCTAAAGCACTAAGGTGGACCACTTATCACAGACAGTATAAATCAAATGGAATTGAAACACAAAATATAGACCGCCACAAAGATGTAAATGCAATAAGATTAAGCAAAAACGTTTTCTGAATTCTTTTGATATTCATATTATAGAGTTGAAAAGACATCCTAAACACCAAAAAAAGGAATGCTAAGGGTAAGATATGAAACCAATGATTTGAGATATTTTGACAGAAAACCAGCCTCCACTAAATAAAAAAGCTCTACCATAGATTAGGTTTACATTCAATACCAAATGGTAGCATTATACTCTGCAATGTGTCGCCTAAATGCTTGTTCTGGTAGCCAAACAGCGGAAGTAAACAAAAAGAACACAAAGAAAGGAAAACAATATGAACTACCATCACGCTGGTAAGAATCTGAATTTCTGTCAGAGTGTCTTCGTGAACTAAATATTCTAGATTTTTCCCCAAGGCCAAAATAGAATTGAGCATATGCATTGTTGGTGCATTACTAATAAGTTCTCAACATAGTAATATTTACGCTATAACATACTTACGTTGAGAGTATAGTGACCCATATGAGCTCCACACAGTCCACCCAAAGAAGCCTTTGCTCTACAGGAATCACCCCATAAGTGATCAGGTGAGCAAATGGCCAGAGCTTCCACCCTGCCTGTCATTTTAATCGTAATTGAAAATCAGTTTTCACTGAGATATTAGATAATTAGAAGATTCTAAACAATTAACTGGACTTCACATTGAAACTCAAAATCATAATAACCCAAGAGTTGCGAAACATGACTGGCTATAAATATCAGACTAGAAAATTCCTTTCATCCTTGGTATATTTTATCTACAGAAACTCAAGCATATCTTAAAAACATGAATGAACCTTAGAGACTGCCTCAGTGGAAGTCAAGTAACCAAGCATGAATATAGATATGCCATTTTGTTCAACATCAAGCTCACTTTCCATAGCACTCCAACCAAGCACATGGATAACGGATAACCCACTAAGTTTCTTAATACGCTAGGCAATCTCTAAGATAAGGCCTTCCCAAATAGCTATATTGGCATAAGAACCTGATTTTCCACTTTTCTCTACTTTCTAAACCTTAATTGTTGGCAGTAATTAAATAGCTAACTAGCACCTCACCTTAGTATATCTCAATTTATTCATTACAAGACTATATACTTTATCTAAATTGAAAAAATCTGCAGCATGCTTGCTTTTTTTATGTATGCCTACATTTCTCAATATCTTTTTGAAAAAACAGATTTGCATGTGTTGCATCACACAGATTTCTAGGGGTGTGTGGAAGGAGTGCCATGCTTGACACATGTGACTGCTCCGAAGAATCATTGTGCTTCGTGAATCAACACGATTGTTATAAGCCTGTTACACTATTCACATTTTCAGTGGGGTTGATCAATGAAATTCCATTAGGAATATAAATTCTGCAACGGGAAACTAGTTTAGTGCTTAAAATTTGATTCATTAACATTTAAGATGTGGGTTGGAATAAGAAAGCAGCCACTTTTTGCACATACTGTCAAATGCTAGGCCTGCTCCCAATTTACCCCTCCTAGATGCCAACCCCATTAATGAAGACTGAATTGGGTTTTATTTTCATTTTTTTGAAATTGTGTAACGGGTCTAGAGTTCGTTCTCTATTATTTTCGANTTAGGCCTGCTCCCAATTTACCCCTCCTAGATGCCAACCCCATTAATGAAGACTGAATTGGGTTTTGTTTTCATTTTTTTGAAATTGTGTAACGGGTCTAGAGTTCGTTCTCTATTATTTTCGAGTTACTGTAGCAAGACCACAAGCATAGCCAGAAGAACTAAATGAAAATTGAGTTCCCAATCAGCAGACCAAAATTATGTAAGAGTTGTGCACCCCTATCTCCTCGGCATTCCCACCCCAATCCCCAGAGCCAAAAGATAAAAAGAGGAGAATATAAGAAATAAACAGCATTATGCCTATAGGATATATTGGGTGCTTCCGAAACGAAGTTATTGACTCCAAGTATATCATGGGCAATGTGGTTGGTTACCAATAGTGATTGGAAAGCACTAAAACTATCAGAAACGAAAATCAGANAACAGCATTATGCCTATAGCATATATTGGGTGCTTCCGAAACGAAGTTATTGACTCCAAGTATATCATGGGCAATGTGGTTGGTTACCAATAGTGATTGGAAAGCACTAAAACTATCAGAAACGAAAATCAGAAGAGTTTCTTACTGTCAACATGAGCCAAAATGTTGCCTTCAGTTCACAAAAAATAGCGGCGGAGGACTCCAAACGCAGAAGCCCCAAACCCACAAAATAGACGCTGTTCCAAACTGCTGCCCAAATAGTTTGGTCAAAAGCAACTTTTGCAGGGACCACCCACCAATCTGTGGAAGGAAATAGAGCCTGGACACCAAATAAAACTATTTCAACCATCCATATGAATTTCAAGAAAGTAATTTGATTGAACACACTGTGGACCACAATTACTACCTCACAAAACTGGTAGTAATAATGTGAAAGGGATCCATGGAGAGAGAACCCAACAAGGCCTGATCTGAACATGCGAGTCCTATCAAAGTCGAAAAGAGGTTTTCCTTCATAACACTGTAAATTCATTAGTACCTGCCTAATGGAACAGACAAAACAAGTTGAAGACTATAATAAAGCCAGGAAATGATCAATGGAAGATAGTAACTTACTTGTGCAATCCAATCTCCTAAAGAGTAGACAACCCCACTAATCACCATTTTGGCTAATACCGGATGTATTTTAAGAGCTTCTTCATAAGCAGTCCAATTGTGTTCCGGCGCATACCTCAACACCTCATAAAGGGTCCACCCCTAAATCACAGAGATAAGAATATGAAGTCTGAAACTTTGAAATGAAAATAGCTACAATTTTGATCTTCATAAAGAAACCCAAATTGGGTCAACAATTAATCCTTCCTATTCTTCCTTTTCACCAAAAAAAAAATCTAAGGTAGAGAACAACCAAATGACCCTTCGTGAGTCATGACTCATGATTACACACTAAAGTAGACTAAATTGGGCAGAATTCCAGAAACATAGTCTTTTTGGTGGTACATGAGCATAAATAACCATATTGATTGCAGAATTATATACATGATTGTCATGAGAGAGAACAAAACAAAAGAAACCCCAGATAAATTCGAAAAACAAGACCACTCACATGCCAATAATCATGATCAATGGTGAGCAACTTGGTGATTGCAAGAGTACCAGCACCTAGAACAATGGCAGCATTAATTGCTCTGCCCAAAAATCTATCAGAATCATCAGACCCATCAGATAATGCACGGTTATCATTTTCCAATTTTCTTCCAACTGGACCCTTCAACTCGTCCTCTTGGTCAATTGAACCTCTATTCTGTGCTGCGACCGTGTCTTTCTCTTCTGTAACAGACTTAACGACCCAATTGGATGTCTTTATTGTTGAGAATGTTGAATTCAGAGATATGTTTGATTTGGTGAAAAGCTGAGAAGAAGAAAGTGAGAGAGTTATCAACGGTGAGTTGGGTTTCTTGGGTTGAGGGGGTGAAGAGAGGATATAGGCTGTGATGCTGCGTAGCGTAGCCATGGTTGGGTTTAAAAGGAAGAGATACACCAGCGCGAGAATGGATGAAAGAAGGATATCCGTACTGAAAGCGAATTTATGAAAATATTGAAGGTCACACTTACATACGCTGGAATGATCTAACCGTCTAATCTTACTGTAATATAAAACAATTAAATTGTTGTTGACATTCACTCTTGTGCCTTCCCGTCACTTTTCTCTATTTTTTTTTAGGGGAAATTAGACTCGCTTTTATTAAAATTTATAACTTAATCAATTAAAATCCTTAATATTTAAAAAGTAATGTTACATAAATTTAAAAATTAGACTTGATAATCTTAACCGTTGAATAAGTTGTGGGTCTCAATAAATGCTAGGACCTACAGTGAAATCAATGATTGAAATTATCAAATCTAATTTTTAAATCTACTTTTTAAGTTCATATAACATTGCTCATATTTAAAATATTACATACGACTCTCTGAGATTTGTACAATCCTACCTTCAATGTCCAAATATTAGTTAGTAAATTACATTCAGATTTCTTAAAATTTGTATGTATATAATATCTAGAGCTCTCAAATATTTTAAATTTTATAACACACTCTCCAAGGTTTGTACTCTTTAGAATTATTTCAATAGATAATATAATTATATATTAATTATGATTTTATATCAATAAATGACTTAATAAAATATAAATTTTAGTTATAAAATTTAAAATATTTAATATTTTTTCTTTGTTCGGAGTATTTTTTGTCTAAATATAATATTTTAAATTTGAGAGATCTAAATATTATACGCATATAAATTTGAAGGAATTTGAGTGTAACTTATTAATAAATATTCTAACGCGTACAAACCTTGGAGAGTGTGTATAATATTTTAAATATAAAGAGTTTAAATAATTAAGTAACAAATCTCAAAAGTCTGAATATAATTCCCCATTTTTACAATTATTTAATTATCACTCAATCAACCAAATGCTGTTATTCTTATTTTTTAATTAATTAATTACAAGTTTCAAAATTAATATTCCCACTTACCAACGCCCATTAACCACCAACATTTCAACTTCTGGAGATGAGAGCTTTCTACCCTAGTTAGGGTTTCCCTTGAGGTCGTTCTCACCTTTTGCCGTTCTGATCCTTTGATCTCTGGGATCTATGCTCCTGATGTTGCCTGGATCAGTGTATTATTCTTTTTCAGGTATCTAATGTGACCTTCATTTACTATGTTTTAATGCATCTCAACGATTGATCTGGACTTGCCTTTTCTTTCCATTGGATTATGTATTTCCCTGCGTTACTTTCCTTGTCCTCTCTTTTTATTGTCTTCATCCTTGGATGTCCTTTCCTTGCCCTATTATACTCTCTCCATTTCAAACATTCCCTTTGATCTGGGTTTTCCTTTTGTCTTTTCCTCAGGCTAAACTTCATCCTTTTCCTTTTCCTGTTTTCTCTGTTTCTCATCTTTTTGGGGGTTTTTCCCCAGGTTACTATCTCAGTGCCCCTTTATTTTCTTCCCATAGTCTTCCCCTATGGAGCGTGATACAGAAGCGAATTCACATTCCAACCCTCCCCCACGTATTTTGCTTTTCTCGAACCCTTCCACTTCCAAGAATGTTGAGAAACACTGTCTTGTGGGTCGCTTTTACACAAATAGTAACCTCAATGAACAAGGGGTGTGCAACGTCCTACAGAGTTCTTGGAAAACTTCTAAGGGATTCTCCATTACATACTGGGAAAAAAATACGTATACATTTATGATCAAAGAGAAGAGCGATAAAGTAAAATTTTTAGATGAAGGGCCCTGGTTTGTTATGGGAGCTTTACTGGTTTTAAAACCCTATCAGCCCTAGAGTATCATTTGTGATTTCAAGTTCCATTATTCGGAGTTTTGGGTACAAATTAGGGGGTTGCCGTTTGATATGATGACTAAAAACAACTCTTGGAGGATTGGGAGGGTGATTGGGGATCCTACTCAATTAGAGGATATCGATGGTGAGGTTCAGTTCCAGCGTAATTATTTAAGGGTGAAATGTAGGATCAATCTCAAGGAGCCGTTAAAGAAGGGTTCTTTTTGGCTAGGGATAATCAAGATGATATTTGGATCAATCTGAAATATGAGAGGCTCTCTGATTTTTGTTATCTGTGTGGTAGGATTGGTCATGCACAAAGTCAATGTAAGGAGAGATTCAACTTGGGTACTAAGAGCCAATTTGGTCCTGAACTGAGAGCCCAGAGTAGTTCTTCTTTGGGTTTTTTAGGGAGACTTGGTCTCTTAAGGCTCGAGAGAATTTGGAGAAAAATAAGAAGCTTAAAGGGAAGTTACATGATGTTCGAAAAGAGGCTGCCCCTTAAATCCGTGATTGTCCTAAGCCAAGCAAGGCACCAAATAATAGGCATCTCGAAGCTTTAGATGTCCCAACTAGGGAGACCCCACATCCTTACTTAGCTGAACCATTTTGTAATGTGCAGACTCATTGAAGTGGTTTAATTCATACTACCACTCCTCTGGCGGTGGTTCCTTTTTTGGGTGGGGACCAAGATTGGACCCAGAGCCCTATCCACTCTGTCTCCAAAAAGGATTCGGGGATGTTGGTGGCAGTGAAAAGGGGGTCCTACTTTGTCATTTAGCCAACAGACAGTAAGGAAACTAATGATACAGGCGGATATGAGGTTCACATTATCACTGATAGTGGGAGTGAGGAAGCAGGAGACCACATGGAAGCCCACTTCCAAAACATGACCTTGAAAAGGAAAGCCCAGACTGTTAATGTTGAGGCCACTGACCAATTAGTGGGTCATAAAAGGAATAAAAATCTTCCAATTCACTCCTCACAGTTCCCCCTCCAGATTGAACCCTAGCTTGGGCTTCCTCTGATTCCTGATTTTTCCCTCCATGAGCATGGTGACAAGAGTTCTTCTCAGATCCAACATAAAAGGTACAAGTGTAAGAATAAAAGGAGACCACAGGCCAGAACCAATTATGAGCTTTACTTTGCACACATGGAGGAAATGGCGCCTCAAATGCGGCAACAGCATGATGATGGGAATAAGGGAGGTAATGAAGGCAGAGGAGAGAATAATGTCGATTGGAGCATGTCTCATTGGTTTTTGCAGCCTTCCTATGTTATGTCGGAGGCGAAAAACTCCATTTGTCAACCAGATAAGGTGGTGGTGGCTGACCTTCAACAGTCACATGAATCATGTTAGTCCTCTCCTGGAATTGTCAAGGAGTTGGGTGACCCCAGACAGTCCACAATTTATGAGGGTTAGTTGATACACATCGCCCCTCAATCGTATTCCTTATGGAGACTAAGAATAAAATCCCTAAGTTGGAGCGATTGCGAAGATCGTTGCAGTTTCATTTTGCTGATTATGTTGATCCTGTGGGTCTCTCTGGTGGCTTGGCTATATGGTGGAGGGATAATATTACTATCCAGATTATTGAAAAAAATTTGAATCTCATCAATGTGAAATGTAATTCTCGACAGATGCCTATGCAGTGGAAATGTTCTTTTGTCTATTGGGATCCTAAAGTGGAGAGACGTCAACGAACTTGGGCGCATCTCAAGGCTATGGCTAGAATGGAGGACTGTCCTTGGATGGTTTTGGTGGACTTTAATGTTATAGGTTCTGTGAATGATAAGGTTGGGGGTATTCCCTCATGTTTTAAGAACATTGAGGAACTGCAAAACCTTATGTCGGATTGTTGTCTGATGGAGTTGGGTTTTAGTGGTCCCAGGTTCACTTGGTCCAACAATAGACCTGGTGCTGCTAATGTACAAGAGAGTATTGATAGAGTCCTTCTTAATTCCGAATGTTGTGAATTCTTCCCCCTTACTCAGGTGACTCACGAGGCTAGGATGGGATCTGATCATAGACCTCTTGTGGTTGTGTTTGGGGAGTCCATTATGAAGAGGCCTTCTTACTTCAAGTTTGAAAGTATGTGGCTGGATGACCCTGATTGTGAAGAGGTGATTAAGACTAGCTGGGTGCGTAGACAATCTGGTTCACTATTTCTTAATGTCACAAATAATCTAGGGAAACGTAAATCTAATTTGATGGCATGGAGCAGACTTAAGTTTGGTAACAATAGAAAGATCATTCGGGACCTGGAACAGGAACTGATTCACGTCCAGACCTTGACCCTGAGGCGAATTTGTTGAGAGAGGCAAATCTTTGTTCTCAAATTGATGTGGTACGTAACAAAAAGGAACAATTTTGGCTACAATGTTCAAGGATTCACTGGCTTAAGGGAGGTGATCAAAATTCTAGATTTTTTCACTTATCTACCATCCAGAGACGTCATCGCAATCACATTGTTAAACTCAAAAAGAATTATGAGGAATGGATTGAGGGGGAGGAAGACATATCTTATCATATCAAGTCCTATTTCCAGGATTTATTCATGTCATCTAGGGAGAGGGATTGGGGTGAAGTTTTGAGCTCTATTAGCTCTAAAGTTTTTGGTGCTATGAATCAAAACCTCCTCTGTGAGCCTTCTTTTTTTGAGGTTTGGGGTGTTGTTTTTGATTTGGGAGCCCTTAAAGCCCCTAGCCCTGATGGTTTTCCAGGAGTCTTCTTTCATCAATTTTGGCATATTGTTGGGCATGATGTGTTCCTTATGGTCTGCAAGTTTTTTGAAGGTGGTGAGTTGCCTGCTGGCTTGAACCATACTAATATTGTTCTGATTCCAAACGAGAAGGCCCCTGAAGTTATCTCCTAGTTCAGACCTATTGCTTTATGTAATTTCATGTATAAGGTAATTTCCAAGGTTTTGGCCAATAAAATGAAAGTTTTCTTGGGCTCAATTGTTTCTCCAAATCAATTTGCTTTTATTCCTAATCGTCAAATTCAAGATAGTATTTTCATTGCTAATGAAATCTTTCATCATCTTAAGGGTAAGAGGAGAGGTAAGATCCCAGAGCTGGCAATTAAATTAGACATTAGCAATGCTTATGATCGTGTTGAATGGGACTTTTTGGATGCCATGATGGTTTCTTTGGGCTTTGATTGTCGTTGGATGAACCTTATTATGA